TTTCACGTAAAAATGCATTCTTTTTCATTCCTTGTCAAAATAGATAGAAAACAATTTTGTTCTATGTTCCCTCTTACTGCATGGAATGAATAGGAACTACAGAGAATCTTTATTACGTATAAATGGTAAAAAAAGATTAGGAATGAATGAGAATGTGATAATCTTCCCCGTTTTTTTCGTTCTATATGGTCACCATTTAGAGTTATAGTTTTTTTTTGTTCCACATGATTTAATCATTCAAAAGTCTTTTTCAAAAAAAAAAAAAAGGAAAAAGTCGGTATAACACCCATAAGTCCATAACCAAACATTTAATATTTTGGACCTATTGCTAGCTGTTTCAAACAGCTTTCAAATTGAAGTTTATATGGTACTTCCAAATTGATCATCCAATCTCTTTTTTTTTAAATATCAAATGGACTACAAGCAAGATTTGTGATAGATAGATTTTTATTTGGTTGGGAATTAAGAAAAAATTTGAGACAAGGTCTTTATGATGAAAGAAACTTTATACATCTTTGATGTCTCATCTTCAACTACTTCATTATCTTCATTTTACAAATACTTGAACAGTGGTTGATTCGCAATCCGACTACATGTAATACTTTCAGTTTACCTCCATTGAATTCGACGAGAAACATTGGACCGGGCATATACTTTCATTATAATCTAACGAGGATTGCTTGGAGCGGAGAGTTATCTTGGATATGATCCAATCAACAAACTTTACAAAATCGTATCTATGACAACTTGTGATGAAAAATCATAAGGAACATCGAAAACCGGAAAATACTTTTGGAGAATGATTGACTGTTGGATAACGCATTTCCCTAGAGATCATACATCGGTATGCATCAATGGCGAATTGTTTTATCCAGCTGCAACCAGCGTCGAGGACAAAATTTTCATGGTCGTTGTTTTCAACGTTAATTACTGAGAAATTCAAATTGATCAAGTTCTTTGAAACTGAAATTTTGATGGGACATATGACAACTTGGGCTTTTGTATGGATGTATAATCAACCTTTTTAATATATTTGGCATGTGGCTTGTTTGTACAAATTGAAACATACACTTTCATACATCGGAGTAACTAAAGCTCATAAGCACAAAAGAACAAGGAATACATTCAATATAAATCTCAAATCATTTCAAGATCGGTTTCTTGTATAATTAGAACTTCCTCAACATTAAAAAAATGGAGAACTAGTCAAAGTCATAAGTTACTCATTTCATTTTCGACATGGATGGATTTATTTATTCAAAATTTCACTTTGTAAAAATTAAATTCACGAAACATTTTAATTTTCACATGAAAATCTATAAATGAGTCTTCATTTGTTATAGTTAATCTTCCAGTAAAGCAAATGAAATCAAAAGAATAGGATTCAATCAAAATTATATGAAATAAAACCATTTTCCAAAATTTCAAATTGAAAAGAATCCGAGACCATATACACTACAATTTACATAAGAATCATATGCACTGTTTTGGTTTAGAGAGCCAAAAATGAGACTGAAAACAGAAAATTCCAAAAAAAAAAAAAACGTATAGAAGAAAATAGAACGATGTGTCCATTTCTTACAACAAATAAAATAAAAGAAATGTACATAATATATATCCTTAAATTCAAGGAAAGAAAACTAAACATGTGGCCTATATAATCCTTAGGACTTATACTTAATTAAGATTCATATTGCATATAAGTATATAAATCAATGTTATACTATACATCAACATTGGACTCTTTATAATGGAATTTACATATGTGATTGAAATTGAAAGCAGCCGTACAGTTACAGAAACATATGTAACACAGCGGAAGAGGACATAAACTCATTTATCAAAACACTTGTATATCGA